TGTTTCTATTTTACTGGCATTTACATGACTTGAACTGGTTTCATGGCTTTTGGGATTCTATGCGAAATGTTAAGCAACCAGTAGTAGTAAAAGCAGACGATTTTTCTGCCGCGTATTTTTCGCACGATGTGCAGAACATAGCCTCCGTTTCTTCATCGTAACGAAGCCATTCATATTCATTAAGCCATTTCGGCAGAAACCCGGCGTTCCGCTTCATTTCATACTTCTTCTTTGGTCTCATTACCCTTTGCTGACTTATCTTTTCGTTTGATTTCGATGTAAACCCGAACTTAAATAGGTTCGACATGATTTGTAAACAATCCGCAAAGCGGTCGTATCACTATGTGATTGTCGCAAAATTTCAAGCGATTTTTATTTCGTAAAATTTATGATTAGCGTATAATTAAACACTTTGCTTTTGTTGTATTTTATTAACAATATTTTCACAACATAAGGAATACTTTTTGTCATTCAAAATCGGGAGAATAAAACGTAAAATACAGGGATCCCAAGCAACGTGTTACGACAAGCAACTATCTATATATTCGGCAGAGGAAATCCTGACGCGCAGGCGCAAAACTGTCTATATATATCGGCAGGGAAATCCTGACGCGCATGCGCAAAACTGTCTAGTTTACAATCACTTCATATTAGACAACACTCGTAGCTACGGTGAGGTTTGAATTTTGTCATTTGGCATGGGTTTTCAGCGTATTTTGGCGTGTTTACGTTTTGATTTTGTTTTCTACATTTTTGTCTACTTGCCCGATCGGACAACCGGGATTCAGAATCAACTTGTCCGGACCCAAGTCTGGTATGCCAAAACCTATCGGACAATGCCTAATGTCGAGCCCTGTATATATATAATATTATGGAAACAAACATACTAACAAAATCAGTGTTTACGTGAGCTGAGCATATCTGTAATGCAGAAATGTGGTACCGTGGGAACGGTGGCACATACGACCGTTCGGGAAGAACGGCGCGATGGCGTACAACATATTTAGAAAGGGCATATCAAGTAACGTCACGGACGGCATAGACGGTTCTCACGGCCGGACGACAGGTAACGGCCTCGGCCCGACCCTAGAACGGAGCGAAAGTTGTCAACCAGGCACTCAGTAAGCGACACTTTATGACAGTCCGACAACTGGTCAAAGAGAGCATTGAACCCCAACAATGCAACGTTCGTCGCGACCGGTCCTTGTGATCACTAGCCGGTGCCACAAATCAGGAAATCTGTAGGGGGCGACGAACGCGCGCACGGTTTAAAAGAGAGAGGTTTTGGGAGAAACGAGAGTCCCGGACCATCACTTGGTATGTGTATACGCTGTTGCCATTCGTGTTATAGAATAAACCTATAGTTGTTCACTGTTTATACAACGCTTACGTCTCCTGTCTACGAGAGTATATTCCACGCTACAATTTGGTGCCGTGACCAGGATATCAAGTAGTTCATCACGTTTTGGGTTTTATAGTTTCCCTTCATTTTGAGATCCGAGATTCTGATGCCACATCTGAGAGCACTCAATATGGCACTTGATGGCGTTGGAATTGACGGATCTAGTGAGCTTGTTCCTTGTCTCTGATGTTTTCTTCACGGCGAGCAAAATTCTGATTTAGTTCAGCCAGGGTCATTGCTAATTTTCAAATTTCCCAGTGCTGGTTTTCAAGAGTGCTGAGTAAGAGGCTGCCTTTCCAGCTTTTGGGACGTGGCCTTTTTTATTTCTCCCAGCTCTTCCAACACAGTCACTTGTTCTTTTTTGGAGTCGTGAACTCTTTCCTGCCTGGATTCTAGCAATCCTTGTTGAAAACTGCCAAGATGGAGTCCGCTATCTTGGCGGTAGGAAGTCCAGGATCTTGCATTATCTTTTTGTGTCATCCTCCTTCATCGTTTCTTTCCAGCTGTCCAGCTGCCTGTCCCCTTAGTCCAACTCAATTCCATGTCTTGCATGGCAGATTCTATCTTTCCTCCCTATTGTCTTCCTCTACTCTTTCCCTCGGATATGGTGTTTGGGTATTTCCGTTTTCTTTGGGTGGTTTTGTGCCTGGTCAGATTGACCTTTGGATTTGTTGTGGCTTCCTGGCTTATCTGGACCTGTGATACCCCTGTTCTGTTTCTTTGGCTTGGTTTGGGTGCATTGAGTTTCGGTTCGAACCCATTTCTTGTAAGGCTTGGTAATCCCATTAGGTTTCGGCAAGGAGGACTCCACATTTGGTTTTCATCATCGAATCTTCTTCTCTTAGGGTACATCCATATAAGACAGTTTCAAGAATCTCGTAAACAAAGACCCCCATTTTTTAGCCGAATTAATTACTATCAATGTAGACAGCCGGCGTCGCGCTCAAACAACACACTCTATCCGACATTTTCGCGCGTCAAGAGCACCATGCATGGTTGTGTTTCCAATAAACCATTGCATTGGTTGCCTTGTTTGCTTGCAAAAATGTTTAAAATTTTATCTCGAAAACGAAGACCCTGCTATAGTTGCAGACTATACGCAGACTTTTACAAGGTCTGCTTACAATCATAAACATGAATACATAGATTCACTTGTGACTAGTAAGCATTTAGTAACAATGGCAAGACTAAGAGATATTTTTTATTGCAAAAAACACATGCAACCATGCAGTTTATTTGACACAAAACATTTGCTTCTATGATGCGAAAATGTCGTAGAGTGTGTTGTTGAGCACCAGCCGCTTGTCTACATTGATAGTATTAACATATTTCTGGCTAAAAATGGGTGTTTAGTTATCGGAGATTTTGGGGGGGTAATCTCGAAACAAGACTGCTGCTTATTTGCTGATATGGTAGACAATGATAGACAAAATGCAAACACACATTAACGAAGATTTTATAGTGCTTCAGTATATTTCGAAGAGGTCTTTGTTATTTTTTGTTTTAATCTTTTTTTGATCGTCTTAAGGTCTTAGAGTCTTTGTCTTTCGAGGTCTTGTTTTCGAATAGCTACCGGGTGCCTGAGCCTCGTTCGATCGTCGCGCATCGCTCTAGGCGCGCACTCGCTCCAGATGCCGCTGGTATAAAGTTGTTAACCTCAACAACCACTATCCGCGATTTGTATACTGATCGGAAGCTGGCATACCAAGCATGGAAATCTGCCATGCCAAACACAAAAATCTTATATCCGTGCGAATATAGGGTACTGCTAATATGCGACCCCCTGCAAAAATGATCATTTTCCGTCAGCTACGTACGATCTTTTATTTAGTATATATACATACTCCATACACTAGAATCTTTTGAGATTTCTATGCCTGCCTGCGTAAAAAGCGTAATCTTTTTCATTTCATGTCCAGGAAAGGAAGAGAAGTCATAGTTGTCCGAATATTTCGCTAAAGTTTTTTTGCTAACACATGTTTTTAATACATTTAAATCGAATCGATCGAATCGAACGAAATATCAAAACAAAATATCAATATATCGAATCGAATAATTTCTATACCAACGACAGCGCTAGCACGTACACGTGACGTGCGTGCGCGCGTGTGCAGGTACACGTGGGTGCGTGTCGTGTGCGACGTACACTGCGGTGCATGCGTGCGTCGCTGTGTGTGAGGTACACGTGCGTGGTACTGCGTGTGTGCAGGTACACGTAGCCGTGCTTGCATGCATGTGCAGGTAACGTGCGTGCCGTGCGTGCGTGTGCACGTACACGTGCGTGCTGTGCGTCGGTGCATGTACACGTGCGTGCGATTGAGTGTGGCGTGCGTGTGCAAGTACACGTTGCGTCGCGTGCGGCGCGGTGCATGTGCAGTAGGCAGGGTGCGTGCGTGCGTGCACTGCGTGTGCCACGATACATGTGCGTGCGTGCGTGTCGTGGCGTGTCACCTACACGTGCGTGCATGAGTGCTGAGCCGAAGCGTGTGTACGTACATGCGTATAGATGCTGCGGCCTATCGTGGAGGTTAAAGCTATACGTCGAGTTAATGCGTGCTACTGATGGCCGTACTCGAGTTCCTATACTCGATTTGACTGGCGAGGTTAAACACCTCGAGCTTACTTTAACCGAGTTAAGCCCGTGTAGACGCTTTAACTCGAGTTAGGGTTCATCGTGTAGACGTAGTTTATGGTGCTAATTGAACGCGCAAATATCAAAGTTCGCCCAAGAATATGAGGTTGGGCCAGCTGCTGCGCCGGAGTATATATTCAGTCCGCCCAGGAGAAGCTTATCGCCGCGGGCGAGGGGTGGCGCGTACCCGACGCTGTGTCAAGCCGCTGCACTCTACCTACGCACAGCCAAATGAATTCAATAATGAAAAATAGCACAGGTCTGTCATTCGAAGAGATTTGGAACTTCGCCTACAGAAGGAATGTATTAGTTTTAGTAAGATCCAGCAGACGAAATGCCATTGGAACCTACTACTCATATATACCGCTTATTAGTAAAAACACCGAGCGTCTGTGATAACAAACAATTCACAACGAAGTTTTATCGCCATTATGAGAGCAAGAGTCAAATATCATTTGATTAAAAACCATGTATTACCGAGTGGAAAGCAGAGCAGCTCCAGTTCAGTCGACTCGGGTATGAGCTACCAGAAGATCTGAAGACACAAGTGAGAATGTAATGTAATGCGCTCATAGATAGCAAACCTGTTATTATTCTGCACAACTAGACAGTATAACTGAGACAGCAGCGTCCTTAAGAATATTCAAATAAAACTACTTTCAATGGCACAAGACAAAAAACAATGACATTGCTGTGCTTTTATAGGCGCCCAGTTTTCTTAGGTTATTTCGACGCCTGTTTGGATGTTGATAACTGAATCTTCAAAGCACTAAGCTCGAACTGTTATCTAAGATATGAAGTAACTCAGTCGATCACTCTAGTTTTTGAGCAACGTTATCATCAGCGCCTTCGATGATGTACGCTGCTCAGTATATGATACACATGTCTTTGTGGACATTCCAGAACGTGTCTCCACAAGGACAATGCAACTAATCCTATATACAGTAGACTGTATAATTTTAGTGTCAGCGACACGCCAACGTGATGAGCCTCTCTACCCTATTGGCACATCCGCTATACACCATCCTGGACACATATCAAAGTATGTTAGAATGCAATGTGGTAGATTTCTTTATATTAAATGTGGAGTCCTCCCTTGCCCGAAACCTAATGGGATTACCAAGCCTTACAAGAAATGGGTTCGAACCGAAACTCAATGCCACCCAAACCAAGCCAAAAGAAACAGAACAGGGTATCACAGGTCCAGATAAGCCAGGAAGCCACAACAAATCCAAAGGTCAATCTGACCAGGCACAAAAACCACCCAAAGAAAACGGAAAATACCCAAACACCATATCCGAGAAAGAAGTAGAGGAAGACAATAGGGAGGAAAGTAGAATCTGCCATGCAAGACATGGAATTGAGTTGGACTAAGGGGACAGGCAGCTGGGACAGCTGGAAAGAAACGATGAAGAGGATGACACAAAAGATAATGCAAGATCCTGGACTTCCTACCGCCAAGATAGCGGACTCCATCTTGGCAGGTTTTCAACAAGGATTGCTAGAATCCAGGCAGGAAAGAGTTCACGACTCCAAAAAAGAACAAGTGACTGTGTTGGAAGAGCTGGGAGAAATAAAAAAGGCCACGTCCCAAAAGCTGGAAGAGGCAGCCTCTTACTCAGCACTCTTGAAAACCAGCACTGGGAAATTTGAAAAATTAGCAATGACCCTGGCTGAACTAAATCAGAATTTTGCGCGAAAAAAAGAAAACATCAGAGACAAGGAACAAGCTCAACTAGATCCGTCAATTCCAACGCCATCAAGTGCCTTACTCAGTGCTATACGATGTGGAATTAGAATCTCAGCGCTAAAAATCAAGGAATGGATAAAACCAAAACGTGACGAGCTTCTAGATATCCTGGTCACGGCACCAAATTGTAGCGTTAATTAATTCGGCTAAAAAATGGGGGTCTTTGTTTACGAGATTCTGGAAATCTGTCTTATATGGATGTACCCTAAGAGAGAAGATTCAGATGATGAAAACCGATGATAACGTTGCTCAAAACTAGAGTGATCGACTAGTGATACTTCATATTTAGATACATTTCGAGGTTAGTGTTTGAAGCATTCAGTTATCAACCATCCAAACAGTCGTCGAATAACCTAAGAAACTGTGGCCTATAAAAGCACACTGGTCATGTTTTTTGTCTTGTCCATGAAAGTAGTTTTATTTTGAATATTCTTAAGACCGCTGTCTCTAGTTATATGTCTAGTTGTCAGAATAATAACAGGTTGCATATATATGAAGCATTACATTACAGTTCTCACTTTGTCTTTCAGATCCTTCTGGTAGCTCATACGAGTCGACTGAACTGGAGTCTGTCTGCTTTCCACTCGAGGTAATACATGGTTTTTAATCAAATGATATTTGACTCTTGCTCTCATAATCGATAAACTTCGTTGTGAGATTTTTGTTATCAACAGAGCTGCTCGTGTGTTTTTACTAATAACTGTATATATGAGTAGTAGGTTCCAATGGATTTGTTCTGGATCTTAGAAAAACTAAACATTCTTCTGTAGGGAGGTCCAAATCTCTTCGAATGACAGACCTGTGTATTTTTCATATTGAATTCCTTTGCTGCTGCGTAGTAGAGTGCAGCGCTTGACACAGCCGGTCGCCCACTCGCCCGCGGCGAGTAAGCATTCTCCTGGGCGACTGAAATATCATCACTGCTGCCAGCAGCTGGCCCAACCTATATTCTTTGGGCGACTTGATATTTTGCGGTTCATTAGCCACCATAAGCTACGTCTACACGATGAACCTTAACTCGAGTTAAGCGTCTACACTGGGCCTTAACTCGAGTTAAAGTAACTCGAGTTAGTTTAACCTCGCCAGTCAATCGAGGTTAAGCTAACTCGAGTTAAGGCCCATGTAGACGCTTAACTCGAGTTAGCTTAACCTCCACGATAGGCGCCAGCACTAGTACGATGTACGTACACACGCTCGCTCACACTCATGCACGCACGTGTAGGTGCACACGCACGCACGCACGCACGCACATGTACGTGCACACGCATGCACGCACGCACGCACGCCTGCCTACGTGCACATGCACACGCGCGCACGCACGCACGTGTACTTGCACACGCACGCCCACACTCATGCACGCACGTGTACATGCACACGCACGCACGCACGTGTACGTGCACACGCACGCACGCACGCACGTGTACCTGCACATGCATGCAAGCACGCACGTGTACCTGCACACACGCAGTACGCACGCACGTGTACGTGCACACACACGGACGCACGCATGCACGCACGTGTACGTGCACACGCACGCACGCACGTGTACCTGCACACGCGCGCACGCACGCACGTGTACGTGCTAGGGCTGTCATTGGTATAAAATTATTTCGATTCGATTATTGATATTTTTGTTTTTGATATTTCGTTTCGATTCGATCCGATTCGATTTAATATGTATAAAACATGGTGTAGCAAAAGAAACTTTAGCAAAATATTCCGACACATGACTTCTCTTTCCTTTCCTGGACATGAATGAAAAAAGAATTTAACCTTTTACCAGGCAGGCATATGAAATCTCAAAAAGATTTCTAGTGTATGGAGTATGTATATATACTAAAAAAGATCGTACGTAGTGACGGAAATGATATTTTGCAGGGGTCGAAATTAGCGGTACCCCTATATTCGCAGGATAGTAGATTTTTGTGTTGGATGGCAGATTTCCAATGCTTGGTATCCAGCTTCGATAGTTATACAAAATCGGGATAGTGGTTGTTGAGTTAACAACTTTATACGCAGCGCATCTGAGCGAGTGCGCCCGTAGAGCGAGTGCGCACGATCTGAACAGGCTCAGGCACCGGTAGTATCGAAAACAAAGACCTCGAAAACAAAGACCTAAGACCTAAGACCTAAGACCTCGAAAACAAAGACCTCTCGAAAAATATACTGAAGCACTAAAAATCTTCGTTAATTGGTGTTTTGCATTTTGTCTAACATTGTCTACCATATCAGCAAATAATAGCAGGGTCTTTGTTTTCGAGATTACCCCCCCAAAAATCTCGAAAACAAAGACCCCCATTTTTTTAGCAGAATTATTTACTATCAATGTAGACAAGCCGGCTGTGCTCAAACAACACACTCTATCCGACATTTTCGCCATCAAGAAGCAATGGTTGTTGTTCCAAATAAACTGCATGGGTTGCCTGTGTTTTTTTGCAAAAAAAAATATCTCTAGTCTCCCATTGTTATAAATGCCTTTAATTCTAGTCACAAGTGATCTATGTATTCATTGTTTATGATTTGTAAGCGCAGACCTGTAAAAGTCTCAGTATATCTGCAAATAATAGCAGGGTCTTCGTTTTCGAGATTAAAATTTTAAACATTTTTGCAAGAAAACAAGGCAACCCATGCACAGTTTATTTGGAACAACAACCATGCATGGCTTCTTGACGGCGAAAATGTCGGATAGAGTGTGTTGTTTGAGCACAGCCGGCTTGTCTACATTGATAGTAATTAATTCGGCTAAAAAATGGGGGTCTTTGTTTACGAGATTCTGGGAAATCTGTCTTATATGGATGTACCCTAAGAGAAGAAGATTCAGATGATGAAAAACCAAATGTGGAGTCCTCCCTTGCCCGAAACCTAATGGGATTACCAACCTTACAAGAAATGGGTTCGAACTGAATCTCAATGCCACCCAAACAAAGCCAAAGGAAACAGAACA